ATGTTGATCAATTTGTGGATTGTGTTCCGGGGTAATGGTTAGTCAGTGCAGTTGGCGAGTTGTCTGGTCTTCTCGAACTATTCCTTGACACTGGGTCGTGCATCTCGTTAACTTAGGGTGTGGTTGTTGTGTTGGCGACAGCTTCTACACCTTAAACAAATTCACAGCTAGGTGGCCCTAGGGCTGGTCATCCTCGTTACACAAGGGGCAACCATTATACAGTACTGTATATTATTGTGTGTGTGTGCACTTGCACCTTTGCCTGAAGGAAATATAAGTGAATGTACTTTACGTAAGCTCAGTGTGACTTATGTAGCATTACCATCACTTCACCAATTGCTGGTTTCTGTGAAGCCATATTAATGGTTAATTTCAACCTAAATAAAAGCACAGAATACGGAGAGTACAGACTAGTAAATGTAAATAAACTTTGTAGAAGTGCTCGTCAAGCAATATCACAAACTAATGCCAAGACTACTGATCAGAAATCATGCTGGACCACAGGGTACAGAATTAGAGAGGTTCAACCTGTGTTATCTTTATTACTCTCCCAGTTTTGCGGTGGTTGAATAAAGGGATATAGATCTCAGAGAAAAGGATTGAAGTAATAGGATGGTGGGAGACAAGTGTAGAAAGCAACAGGAAAGGTCAAGGACACACATACTCACACACTCACTCTGTTTATACCTTAAAATTCAAATTTCATTTGCTTCTGTTGTGATTTCTAACACCTGTCAGTCTAATTTGAATACTAGCATGATTTATTTGACTTTTTATTGTCAACATAATTACATACACAGGAACTCAACTGTACACAAGCCACTGTCATATTTGAAGCATTATACTGTACTGTATATGTGATGCCCATAGGTCTCCCTAATTCATCAATAGGTGTTCTTAAAAATTGGAACAAGATTCAGCCCTCTCATTTTCAAGCAGCTGTGCCTTCACCTCTTTTAAACCGAGTTGTCTGTTTTTCTAGTTATTAGAAAATATAACTATTTTAAGGTCTACAACTTGTGTATTATTACATGGAAATACAGTTAATTTCCATCCAGTTAAAGATGGGTAGTTTGCTGTCCACTTAAAATTTGAATCATGTTGTGTCCCATCTTTAAAACTATATGAGGAAGCTTAAGCTTCTCAATTTAATGTCATTATTTTATATATTATTTTTGGAAATTCCTCACTATGTTGACTTGAGGAGATGATCTGATCAGATATAAGCTTGGTGGGGCCTACTGTACTATCCATTTTATTCCCCGAGTGAGTGTTATTGCCGCCTTCGCTCAGTGTTATTGCAATTATGGGAGGGTGATAAAGGTACAGTAATGAGAAAGTGTTGTTGTTTACTAAGCGAGGAGATGATGGCGCCATCATCTCGGCCCTAGATGATAAAACATATGGCAGGTCCCCGACCTGTGACCTCGCCAGATGTGTGGGGGGTGTTGGTCACTCAAGCTGGCACTGAGGCATTCATTTATTGTGAATCACTCTTCACATGCATGAAGGAATGAATTTCATTGAGATTTGGCCTGTAGATGAGACAACCTATCCATTTTATGTACATTACAGTACTGTACAATACTGTACTTATTTTGTTGTGGCTAGAATCAGTATGGATGACTGATAATGTGCCTGTTTCTTTGCTTATACCCAGTTTGGTTGGGGCTGTTTCATTGATGATGATTTAATCATGTGGTGTAAAGGGTTAAAGAATGTAAATAAAAGAATAAGTACTGTACTCATATCCATTAAATGGCTGAGGTATAGTAAAACTCCATTTATAAATATTTAAATGTAGTTGATTGAAACATGGTTAACCATTGGCACTTTAATTTTTGTTTTGAGATTTGACAATATTTTGAGCTCTTGTTTATCAGTGTCAAATTTTGTTGAAAAAAATCAACAATATAGTACAGTATGATTTGACACTTTTTCTTCAGGACTTTAGTATATGGCTTAGCTTGCAATTTTGAAGTGTGCTGGAATCTCTTGAACTCTCTTTGTATATTATAAAGTTTGAATTATAATAAGTTGATATGTAACAGAGTAACTAAGGTCTTACATCAGTGAAGATTATCTCCATTTTCTGGATAGTGGAATTTCTTTAAGGGTTGCAAGATAAATGTTAAAAGTGGTTACCTGTTGGGCTGTCGATGCATAATGAGCATTGTAAAAGATGTAAGAGTTCCTTTGTAGTGTATATAAAGGGTTTATTTGTTTCTTGGAAAGTCATATTTCTAAAGTATCATTCACAGTAGATTATTGGCTGTTCCTCTCTTGAATGTGTCATGTAAATAGAAATTCGGATGGACACCTTATGGCTGTACAGTATTATGAAGCTTCTAGTACATGTAGTTCTTAAAGATGGGTAGCTTGGTGTTGTAAAGGGTTTTTTATTTAGGATTAAACACTTTGCTAACCTTGTGAAGAGTACCTTGTCATTTTGATAACTTACAAAGGTTTTACCTTACTAATGTTTTACTGGCAAGGAGATTTGAACGTGGGATTTTGTACTTTTAAAAATTTTAAATCTTGAGAGATATTGAAATGGAAGATGAATGGATATATACTGTACTTGTTATTTGGTGACAGACCTTTGGAATATGGATTTTTTTTTTTTATGTTCCTTTATAATGTCAATGCCCATTGTGGTGTGTAAGGCAGCCAACTATCAGGAGTCATCTCAGTTTATGGATCTGTATTGTAGGGTTGAAAGTCACATTCCTCAGTTAATAAGAAATAAGATTTATAGTCTTCAAAGCAGACACTTGGAAAATAAGTCAACTGTGTATCATATGTCATTTGTTTGCTGTACACATTTCTCTATACATTGTCATTGTGAGAGCAGAGGCATGAAGATGAGGGTGAGGATTATTGAACAAAAGGAAAAGATATATTTTTTTCTCTAAATAATAAAATATTCTTAAGAAGGCAATACTGGCATCCTGAATGCATCTCTTCTTCTTTTTCTTTCTCTCATTTCTGTTTTTACATAAGACTTGAAGGTATTGTTCACAATTCATGCTGTTCACAGGCTGGATTGTACAGTATTTAGGATATCCATAAATTTTGTTTTGTCATATGACTAAAGTCTTGTTTGATAAAACACACCGTTTCATAAGTGTTTCCTACCAGGCCCTAATGATTTTTAATTATTAAATTTCTATTGGGGTATTGATAGCTGTTTTAATGACATAACTGTTTCATGTTTTGTAGTGCATCTTAATAAGAAGTATTGAGTCATTGGTGTAATATAAATTGTTGCAACGTCCATCTATCCCCTAGTCTTAGACCCAGGGATCACATTACACATTACATCCCTCGACCTGTGTAGTCACCCACAGTGTTGACCTGGCTTCTAGATGCTTACCAGCCTTGGATTGCTCTCAGTATGAGTTGAAGGGTGGTACTCATAAAATTTGATGTATATTTAATTTGATTATAGTCATCAAATACTAATTATTTACAGGAGGGCATTACTTTTCTCTGCAGAAAATAATAATGCAGCCAAGCTTTGAGAGGTGGGCATGTAGAAGATGGGCTGTCCTTTAAACTGGAATTTTGTTTGTAACCTGTAAAGTTAATAAACTAGCTAGGCTGGTGGTCCATGGTGGACCCCATACTAGCCTCCTACAAGTTGGACAGATTCAGGAAGCAATGCAGTCATGATGCTTCAGTCATATTACAAGATAATTGCCAGTCACTTTGCTGCCTTTCTTAAGGATGCTCTTACCAACTGCATTATTTTTTTATTTTCTTCACTAAAGTTGATTTATTCTGGAATGATTGCTTGTTTTAACTTAGTATCATTCTCAATATTTATAGAATTTATTTGGATACAATAATTCCATGTATTGCTATAAGTGAGTTATATATATAGTATTCTTTTTAAAAGTAGGAAGGCTTACAATGGTGGTTTCATGTAATTGATTAGTGGATTCTCTGTAACTTTTCATAATTTTTGTTTCAGTTTAATGTCAAATATTAAATATTTGATAAGACTTCTTACCTCCATTTTTATTATAATCTGTATGAGTTTAACATGAATTGTAGATAGAAGGTGATAAAGCTGAGGTTTATAAAAAAAACTTAACAGCTGTACCAGATGAAGGTTGTACACTCGACTTCTGGCTATGTTGCTCTTGGAAGTCCACTACAGTCTTCTTATCTCTTTGAACACTTAATTTGGCCCTTTTTGTTATTGAACAACTATTAATGTACCAGTTTTAGAAATTAAAGTTTTTGTTGTTACAAGACAATTATGTTGTAGCCATTAACTCTTGTAAGATTCAGATTTTGAAATCTTCTCTGAGGTATACGAAAGCAGCGTTCTACAATGAAAATTTGTACTTTCGCCATAAAAAAACACACACACACACACACACACACACACACACTTTAAAACATCAAGAAATTGTACAATATTCTTTAACAGTGGAGAGTGAGTTGATTATGGATTAAGGGTTTAAGATTAGTGAACACTTTAATAATAAAAGCATGGGCCAGATTAAGCAGAAGTCATTGAGGTTATTAATACTGTAAGCTTCTGAGTGTGTTATAAAAGATTTCCGACTACTGTATATTTAATGACATTTTCTGTTTTAAATTATACTTGTGCTAATTAATAATGCAAAAGTTTCGTCCACATAATATTAGAAAGAAAAAATGTTGATTTGAATGAGAATCCCCTATATGATTTCATGGGACCTTCCACAGCACAGAAATAAAGCTTAAGACATTCTAAATAAAGATTATCAGTGCTTAATAATGCTTTGACAATACGATATACGTATATATATATATATATATATATATATATATATATATATATATATATATATATATATATATATATATATATATATATATATATATATATATATATATATATATATATATATATATATATATGTAGATTCTGAAATACTCAAATACTTTTATAAAAAAAGAAAGGTTTCCCTGTTGTGGGTGATTAGAGTTAAAATCTCTTGCAGGTCACCGTCACCTGAGCCAATTTATAATAATGAGGGTAAGCGGCTGAACACGAGAGAGTACCGCACCCGCAAAAAGCTGGAAGATGACCGTCACAATTGCATAACAAGAATGATGAGTATCAATGCTGATTATAAGCCACCCGCTGACTACAAGTGAGTACTGTTAACCTTGAAGTAGGTTATCAGTGAGTACTGTTTACCATAGATTAATTCTCAATAAGTCTGATGGTCTTTTGCTTTGTGTATTAGAATATTAACTGAGGCTTCTATAGCTGCTGAAACTTAAGGTTTTGAATTGTTTCTTCTCACGTTATGGGAACACAAATTGTTTTAATACTAGTTTTGCTGACCTTAAATCCTTTCAGCTGCAAGAATTAAAGCCCAATTATTAAATTGATAATATTTTGGATGAGTTACAGCATCAGTTAATTCTCTGTGATAGCAGAACTCTTCTGTTAATTGTGTTGTTTTTCAGACCTCCAGTAGTGAAGGTTTCAGACAAAGTGATGATCCCACAAGAAGAACATCCAGATATCAACTTTGTTGGCCTTCTTATTGGTCCACGTGGAAACACACTCAAGGCAATGGAGAAGGACACAGGTGCAAAGATAATAATTCGGGGCAAAGGATCTGTTAAGGAAGGCAAGGTTAGTAGAGAATTTTACGCACACACACAGTGTTTCGGTATTCGGGAATATGGTAGAATCAACTAATTGGCACCAAAATGAAATTATAAAAATAAAAAATCCTTCAAAGTCAGTTAGTAATGTAAGTTTGAATACAGTGCACAATGGGGATGAGCTACCATATTTATTGCTATGGTAAACATTAAAATACAATAGCTCATATTTTATGTACGAAAAATGGCTCCTTCCACACTCAAACCATCCTCTGGGCGACGTGACCTACTTCAACCAAGCAGTCAACCAGGTGAGACACAGGTTTGGCTGCCCTTCTGCGCTGTGTGTATGCCATGACGTCACATTGGGAGAGAGCGCAGCCACACAGTTGTTGCCCACCTACTCCACACATACAGTGGTCCTCGGTTAACGAAATTTCGGTTAACGAATTACTTTCCATAAGAATCTTCAATTCGGTTAACGAACAAAAATTTGATTAACGAAATTCATATGGAAACATGTCCACATGTTTTGGCTTGTTCATCGGCTGGTAGGTTAGTTCGCCAATACAGTAATCGGTTCTAGGTTTACATTCGTTTCCATTGGAGTAAATATCAAGAAGGTTGTGCTCTTCGACATTTTTCCAAGTTTTATATTAAAATTATTAGTCGTTTTAACACTTATTTAACGTAATTGCAGTACAGGGAACTAGTTTTTGGTACGCCCATCAGCCACTTCACTCACCTACCAAGGCGTCTGTTTAAGTCTCTCTTCAATGGAGGAAACATCTTGCTTGTGGCTCTCTTGAACACAGTATTTTTACGTTTTTACTGTACAATTATTGGTCATTCTGAAATTTATTTAACATATTGATAATATATAGCGCAGTGCAGTGTTGATTTAAATAAAATACTCTTTAATTACAGCTAGTGAACTTAAAAATTTTAGTGGTGAAATTACTGTATTGAATCCAGCATGGGTCCAAAGAAATCTAGAAAGGCGATTTCAATTCAAGTGAAACAGGAAATCATTAAGAAACATGAAGAAGACATTAGAACAAATGTGCTTAGTAAAGAATATGGCATGTCGGCATCAACTGTGTCGACAATTCTTGCACAGAAAGACAAATTTAAAGAAGTGAAAGTGAGAGATAAATCTACCAGAGTGAGGAAGAAACAGAGTTGGACAAGGAGATTGTGTCCATTGGTCAATCAATGGGACTCGAAGTGGAGGAGGATGATGTGGAAGAGCTTGTGATGTCTCATGAGGAGGAACTTACTCCTGAAGACTTGAAGCAACTGGATGAGATGTTAGAAACTGACAGTGGTGAGGAGGAAAGGGAAAGTGATGACCATATGTCTTCTTCCGATTTAAAAGATGTTGTTCACTACTGGGAGATGTTCAGGAAACTGGCTTCAAGGCACCCTGATGTGGAAACAACAGAACCTATTTTGTGTAATGTTGAGGACAAAGTGGTCTCCTTCAAAAATCAGTTAATGATCAGGAAGAGAAATGCCCCGCAACCAAAAATTTACAGTTTCTTCTCTAAAAGGCAGCGGGAGAAAGATGCTACCCCTCAGGTTTCCTCTTCAAAAAGGAGAGAGGATTTTCCTGCTGGAGAATCTGTCAGTCCAGAGGTTCCTGACATTATGGAAGGTGACTCACCTTCCAAGAAGCAGTAAAATGCTTCTCCTCCACCCCCACTACCTTCTTTTCTCCCTTCTCCTCCTCCACCTCCCACTTCAAATTCACATCAGCATCATCAACCAGGAGCCTTCTACATACATACCTCAAAGTAAGTGTACTTTACTGCATTTTGTTTTTTACTGTGTATGTAATTTTCGGTGAGTTGGAACCAATATCCCATTGAAACAATGGATTCGGTTAACGAAATGTTTGGTTAACGAACGACCCTCTGGAACGAATTGAGTTTAACTGAGGGACCACTGTATACACATCCGTGTTTTTCATCTTTCTTAATTTATAGTTTTATATTAGACTACCATCAGAAGCAAAACTAGTTCTTAAGAAAAAGAATCACTTGTCCTTGTGTCTAATCATAATCCAAGCTTGACACTTACAGAATGGTATCAACTTACCTCAGGCATCAGTAATTCTTTTATATCATTCATCTTGATGAATAACTTCAAATTGACACATAAAGAACCGAGTTGAAAGAATGCTCACCAGCCACACCTGACGCCATTGTCATAATCAGTCTTCGGAGATGTCAAAAAACAATGTGTATATTTCCTGAAAATATAATGACAGTAACTTTGCTAAATTATTAAAAACAAAAACAAGAAAACAATTGGAATTCCCCAGTGCATGGGTGGGAGGCAGAGTCAGCATGGGTTTATGCTCACCACCACGAGATGGCAGCATTTACTGGGTAGCAAAGCCATTCCACAGTCAGAGGAGGGTGGCACAAACACACAACCTTCAAACTGGTTTATGAATGATGTTGGGAAACCCTGTTATAACAGCTCACTACAACTTCCTATCATGATTTATCCTTTTGTTAACGCTCATAGGAGTGTTATTGGTTTGTGCTGGATAATAAGACCCTTGTCGTTGACGCGATGAGTATAATTCGATCAAGACCTGTTAAAGAACAATTCACATATAACAAATGCTGGTGTATCAGGACACAGTTTGAATAGTGCGATCAATATACAGTACATAAATACACTTATTAAAGTTATTTTGAGTTCTTAGAGGTCTAGGGTTTGACCAACGAGAAGAAATATAATATCCTCCTGGTAGCTGTTGTCTCTACAGTAGAAGACGATAGAGTGTCCAGTCACAGCTGCTACCAGTGTGGCCGATGCGCCCATTTAAACACCTGAGCAAAGTTTGTCAACACTGTCTCTCCTCTCACCCTCTTTCTCTCTTGTCTAGTTTATTTTACTGTGGCTATCCCTCTCTTCTCTCTTCTAGTTTATCTTACTGTGGCAGTAACACATTCTTTTATAATTTTTTTTTATTTATTACATTTGTTTTATTATGTTTGCTTCTGTTGAAATGTTTGTGTTTCTCTTATATTATCACAACATTTGCTACTTTTGTAAAATATTCTACAAATGCATTCAAGAATTTTAATTAAATGTTGAGTATGGGTGGTAGGTTGGACGTAAGGATGGTGGACCCATGCCTGGAGAAGATGAGCCTCTGCATGCATATGTTACTGCCAGCAATCCAGAGAGTGTCAAGAAGGCTGTTGATAGGGTGAGTTTTATGATTCATTTTGCATGTATCTCTGAAACATTAAGAAGGCTGTTGACGGTGAATTTTATGATAAAGTGGATATGAACAAGACAACAGTTATTTTTTAATCTGTAAAAGATAAATTAATCTTCAGAATGTTATGGTACAGTTACGGAAATGTGTTTCAACACCCCGTGGTAACCCGTGATACCAAACAGCAACGCCGCAGTAGTATTATCACCATTTAGGAATAAGTGGGTATTGGTCGTGTCACAATGGATGTGGTTGGTGGGTTTGCTACAAGTCATATAGGTTGGCTGTTTGTAGACATAGGTTACTACAGGGGGTGTAGGAACACATTTCCACAACTGTACATATTGCTGAGAATTTATGAAATCAGTAGTTTGCAGGGCAAAATTAACGGAAGCACAAATTGAGGCAATATTTTACTTAGGGATGTAAGCTTTCTTTAATGGTTTGGAGTAATCATGTTTTACATAAGTTTTGGAAAAATACATTTACAAGTACATTATAATGTTTATTAATAAAAAAATATCCACAGATTAAGGAAATTATTCGACAAGGTGTTGAGGTGCCAGAAGGCCAAAATGATTTGAGAAGGATGCAGTTAAGAGAACTCGCACTTCTTAATGGTACCTTACGTGAAAATGATGGACCAAGATGCTCCAATTGTGGATCTAATGCTCACAAATCATGGCAGGTGAGATTTTCCTTCTTAAATTTTGTCTGGAGATGATATTACAGTTAGTAGTAGTACTGATGTATCGGTATCAGCCTTTTGTTGGAATACTGTTTCTGTATCAGTAGATACTGCCGATACTTTCATAATTTTATTTCTTGAATTTTCGTCTCTGGCAGCCAAAGCTATCCATTTCCATTATTACACATACGGCAGATCTTAACCATTAAATGCATTCTATCTTTGTTGAATGTACAATATTAATGCAAGATGTCCCCACTTTTTGGAACACCCTGTGTTTCATGTTTGAACCGCATATTTGAACAAAAAAAAACTGTCATTGCAAACTACTGCCTTGATGCCCCCATCCTCCCTGTGTTTGATGCAAATAAATGGAACCTGATTGGGAAGCTATCTACTCTATTGAAAATTTTCCACCAGACCACTATTTGGCTGAATGAAAGATTATGCACTGTTTCAGAGATAATCTCTCAAATAAAGTTTCATCAAATGTTCATAACTAAAGGATCAGCAGATGCTCAGTTTTCTGGGTTAGGCAGTACTCTCTCTGCCATCAAGACATCAATAGAGAACAGATTTCATAGATGTTTTGATGACAACAATCCAATACGGGTAACATACCTTGATGCAAGGATACCCTGTACTGTATTGAACTGAAGGTGATAAAACTTCTAAAATACATAGAAGTCATCTTAATGCTGACACTGAAACATTTATGTTTTTAAACTACAATTTGATAATTTTCAACTTTGATTACTGAATACAATTATAGTATGTAACTCAAGTTGTTGGAATTGTTTGTTTGAAACATTTAATTCCAATCTAAGCTTTTGTGTTGAAAGGTCTTAGAAAATATACCTGTGTATTTTATTATAAGCTTTTCTACTTCAAATACTGGGAGTCTACTACATTGCATTCTTCAATAATTTGCTAAAATGGAAATTTTTATTATAAGCTTTTTTAGTTCAAATACTTCCAGTAATTTGCTAAAATGGAATAAGATTTGAAAATTTTTGTGCATTTTTTTTCAGACTTGATACAATGCATCCTTATGTAGGTTAGTAGGAAGGTTACTGCTATCTGTGTTTAGGCTATGTCTTGTTTCTAGGTTCTATAAACATGGTGTTAAAAACTTAAAACTGCTTATATCTTTGGATTTATATAAATTTCAAAGCTCAGCTACTAGCTTGGCTAATTTGGCTTTAGCTATTTTTATTTAAATGCACTGAAAAACTGGAATATTAAGTTACATATTTTGTTATACTATATCAGAAGCAAGCAGAAATTCAAACTTAGTCATGTATACCGTAGATTACAGGGGCATGCAAACTTTTTGCAGAGTCCTACAATAAAACCAACTAATGCTTGAAGAGCTATACACTCATTATATTGCTCTTAAAATTCAAAATTAATGATAAATTTAAAGCCTAAAAGAAAAAATGCTTACGTACTATGTTTGTTGCCTGTGAAATGAGTTGTTAATGGAATGGGTGACGTACTTGCTGCACTAAGTCTGCAATGTCTGGCTGGATGGATGGCGTAGGAACATGAAGGGTTTTTACTGGGTGCACATCAGTAATAGAGGACCTTAATTTGTCCCTTAGTTATAATCATTAAAAAAAAAATTCACATGAGTACACCAATTCCCCCATTAACGTCCTTGTTAGGTTCCTGAAAACCACGATTTTAAGTGAAATGATGTTAAGTGAAAGCAATTTTACCATAGACACAATGATATAAATAGGGTTTATGTTCCTTGGGTATATTTCTGGTCAAAATTTTCTCACAACTTGCCACAAATGTTTCACTTTCATCATTATCACCTTGTTTTAAAGTTTTAAATAAACTTAAGAGCTTTTGCTTGTATGGAGAGCAATGAACTTGGAAAGTTTTGATGATGTTGATCCACAATCTACATGTTTAGCATTCTTTCCACATTTTCCATAATGCCACTTCTGTTACAAGTTAACTTTGTAGCAGATAATGGAGTACACTTTTAGCACATGATTTGATATTTTCTGCATTTCCACAAATATTTCTTACCTTCAGTTGTAGGCTGCAAACCGACAACTCTTGCTATGCCCACAGCTGACTATCCTTCTTCAAATCTCTTTACCACATCTAATTTAACTTCTAATGTAACACTTTTCCTCCTCTTTCTGTGACCACAACCAGTGGTGGTGCATAATGCACGTTTAGCACTCATTGTTCTAGGGCTCAAATAAATTTATAATTTGATTTTGAGTGAATGTTGGAAGAGCATCAACCAACCACCAAACAATAACAAACAAATATGGTGCCTACACTGGCCGCTTACACAGCCAGCTGTTATCACAATCAGGCACTGAGCGCCTTCATACCGAATTTTTAAAAATTGTCATACGTTTATCATTTTCATACATATGTTCTTCCTTTTTTCAACGACGTTATAACAAAATGCCGTTGACTGAAACGATGTTAATGGGGAATTGGTGTATGTACTTCCAAACACTGACATTTTTTTGCTTGTGAGCAGAAAGATGTGGCTAATCTGCACTGGGTAAATATTTCTTATAAAATTCATGTGGAGTGGTAATTTCATCATATTTCTTCTTTAGTTCAATTTTGCATTGGAGGTCAATCACTTCCATCTGATACATCTCTGGAACAGTTTCTACATCCACAGTGAAAGGTGCAGAAAATAATTCTATTGTTAGTGCATGGCATCTGATATCCTGAAATCTGTGTAAGAACTCATCCTGCAAGGTTGTCAACTTATTGGCATACAGTACTTTGAAAACTGCTCGTCTCCTTAATTTCATACTTGCTAAGAGTTGGGAAATTTGCTGTATTATGCATTCTGATTTGCAACTCCCAGAGACGTAATTCTGTCTGAAATCCTTTGATTAACGAGAAAAGGTCACTTATAAGTTTATCTTTTCCATGGAGTTTAACATTCAAACTGTTCAGTGTTGATTAATGTCCACCAGAAATGCTAGATCACAGATCCATTCCTTGTCAGTCAGTTCTGGGACACTCATCCTTCATATCTAAAAACAAAATAATTTCTCCCACAAGATCATAAGCTCTTTCCAGCATTCCTGCTCTATTTAGCCACCGAACCTCACAAAAGTATTTCACGTCGCCAAACTGCTTCAATGTCTTTCAACAACTGTTGAAACTGGCGGTGATTAAAAGGTTTTGACTTGATAAATTTGATTGTTTTTACAAGGACACTCGTCACAAACTAAAATTTCAGTGTTTTTGCATACAAAGTTTCTTGATGTATGATACAATGACATACAATTAGTGAAGATGAATCAATATTCTGTCCGAGATTCCATTTTACCCTTAACTAAACCGACCAGGTCGTTTATTAACCCAGCCATCGCCGGAGCTCCATTAATTGTAATGCTAACCAGTTTCTTGTAATCAAGGTCGAACTTGTGTAGTACCTTGTCTAATTCTTCAAATACATTCTAATCAGTAGTTGTTCCCTTCATGCTTTGAAGAGAAGCCAATTCCTGTGATATGAAAGGTTGCAGAGTTGGTAATACTGACCAATACTGTATATTTAGCCTTGGGTGAGGGCCATAGACAGGGTTCGTGGTAATTTCAGAAGTGGGCCCTGCATGTAGAAGTTTTGGAACTACTGTACAGTTATTTGCTCATCAATAAATTGGGAAGAATTTTGCCTCATGTATATTTTTTTCAATTTCAAATTAAATTTCGTAACGAAGTAAAACATTTTCAAATGATTTTCACTTTCTGCAAAGGAGATTCAAGAGTCTTACTACACACCCTGAGTCCTAAGAAGATGTATATTTTACATTTCAAATAAAATTAAGATTTTTGTTGAAGCAGCTGATCTTATCTCATACATATAGTTAGCCATCATTAACCCTTAGGCCCTGGGTGACGTTCCAGAACATCCGACCAGCGCGCCCCGGGTGATGTTCCAGAACGTCCACCCAGCTCACCCCGGGTGATGTTCCAGAACGTCCACCTATTCCTGCCAATTTTTTTTTATTTATTTATTTATTTAAAATTTTTTTTAATTATTTTTGGAAAAAGTTAAATTTTTTCTTGATTTATCCCCGCGTCGGGGATACTGCCAGCAGCACCCTAACCCGGGGCTTAAGGGTTAAGGTTGCTTATTATTTTTAAATATTTTTTAATTTCTATTGGTGTTTTTCATGCCTCAGTTCACCTGCATCTGACAAAAATAATCACAGGCACTTGCAGCCCCTACCATAAATGCACCACAACTGACTTGTGGGAAAAAAGATATTTGTCATATAATGAATTCTAGAACACCTGGTGTATATTTTCATGCCACAGTTTACAGGTACAAGCGTGGGGTGAGCCTCTTCTGAGTTTGAATTTTCTTGTGCATTCTCCATCCCATTGAACTTCACTAGTTTCAAAATCACGCAAGTTCGTATGTGCGGAAATTTTTTTTTTTTTTTTTTTAATATGAGAGCTCTGGCTAGCCCGCCCAGTTTTAAATTTTACGGTCGGGTATCATAATTTATTATTTGCAAATATGGAATAGGGGTGTTAAAATATCAATTGCGGCTAAGTGGGGTTGCCCAATAGCAAGGTATTCCTGTAACACGTGTGATGGGGATGCAGGCTGAACAAATACTAAGGCGAGTGGGGTTGCCAAGTCTGTATTTCTTGTCAATACCAGATCTTGAAGATTCATTACTAAAGTGAGTGTTTCAATGCCAATTTTTTAGTCTACTGTACAATAAAACTTTTTTTTCCCAGGGAAAACAGCAGTTGGCCTAAGCTTACCTATATACAGTATAACTGAAGTGAAGGTAAAATTGTTTACACTAAATCAATTCATTCCTACGGGGCAGTGAAATTATCGCTGCCCTCCTCTGTTCACCCTTTATGATCACACACGTCAACTAAGTTTATTCAGGGTTAATACAAAATCATTTTCATTCACTACCAAACATATTTTTCATTACTAAATTGCCGCCATGGACAACATTTAAAACATCCACCAACATCCTGCTTTGTGTGATGCTATACCAAAGCAGCTGCACAACCGCTTATTCCTACGTACATGACATACTGTAGTTATGATTACTCAATCGCATTATACCAAATTTGCATCCGCATTGTAAAGAATTTGTTTCTTAGTACAGCTACTCCTCGACTTAGGACCTACTCGACTTATGTCCACCCGGACATACGACCGCCTCATTCGTACCAAAACTTTGTCAAATTACATATTTTCGAGTCCCAACATTAGAGATTGCGCTGTGTACTGACAAAATTTTCATTTGTACTTCACTTTAAAATGGCTGGCAAGCTTAAAAGTGAGAGTTTTGTGGTGCTGAGAAGAAAAAGAGACACCCATTTTAGATTTTCTATGTATTATTTAAGCATTTTCGACTTAAGACCTGGATTTGGGTCCCTAACCTCGTCGTAAGTCAAGGAGCAGCTGTACATTCGTCGCTATTTAGAATGTTTGTTCATTACGATATTTACTGCTTTGGTAAATTTTTATTATGAATTAGAAGATAAAGTCTATAAAATAATGCAGAAGTTTGCACATGCTGATTACCACTCAGCAGGTTAGCACTCACCTCTGCCAGTTTTAAACAATTCTTGCAGATGTATGTTTACTCTACCATTGTGCTTAGTTTCCTTTGAGCTCATTTTTTAACCGTAATATCTGGATAAACGCTTGAAAGTGATAGTGAAGGTACTGTAATTTGGGCAAGTATTCAAGGAAAAGTATGTACAGTATGTGGATGTAAAACTGTAGGCCATAAGACATTTGAAGGTGGGCGAGTGTCAGGTTGATGTTGGTTATAGCTTGGGTTTGGCCAATCTTCCATAAGCACTGATCAAATGCACTGGTGAATATTTAGTTCGTATAATTTTTTATGTCCATTATCATCTCAATTTATTTTTTCTTGTGAAATGGTTTCTTGCATTTATTATGTGTAGGACAGTGTTATCAATACCCAATGAAGCCCCAATGCATCACTCATAGGTAAGAAATAGTGCTTTTGCAAATGTATATATGTTGGAACCATGTTATACTGACCTATTTTGGAGCTGTTATTTTTAGCACGTTCTAGGAATGCATCTAGAGTGTTGTAAGAGGTCTGCATATATTAAAAGTATATAACTGAAAAGTAAGAATTAATTGTTTTTCATGCTTTCTGTTTGGAGTTGAAGTAGTCTAAATAATATATTTTATTTTTCAGTGCCCCGACAAACCTAATGTCACTAACAATGTTGTTTGCACAAGTTGTGGTGGCACGGGTCACATTGCTAAAGATTGTCGACAGCGTCGTGGACCTGGTGCTCCTGCCTCTGTTGATCGGCAAAAGATTGATGAGGAGTATATGTCTCTGATGGCAGAGTTAGGTGAAGGCCCTCCTCCTCCTCAAAATAATGATCGCAATAGTAATCGACCAACACCTCCAGCGACCAACAGGAGTCTCTTTGACCGCCCACAGGGGGCTCCACGTCCTCTAATGGGCCCTCCACCTCGCTCTGAACCTCAAACCTCGGTGAATAATCAGTTCAACAGCAATAACCAGAACCAAGGAGGGATGAACCAGCAAAATTCTTGGAATTCCAATCAGATGGGAGGACAAGGAGGTCCACGCCCTTTGTTAGGTAACAGCAATGGTCCTCCTAACCTGAATCAACCACCACCAGGAATGCCTTGGCAGCAGCAGCAACAACAACAACAACAATCACAACAGCAGCAAGGTCCAAACAGTTTCCAAGGAGTACCTCCCCCAAATTTACTGCAGGCACCACCACCTCCCCCACCACCCACAACACAGAATGGACAACAACAGCAACAGCAACAACCAAGTTGGATGGCTCAAGCCCCACCAGGCCCACCTGGTGGTCCTCAGGGTCCTCAAGGTCCTCAAGGTCCTAGCAATCATGGTGGTCCCCATGGCGGTCCACCAAATGGTCCACACGGAGGTCCCCATGGTGGCCCTCATGGTGGACCACATGGTGGTCCTCATGGAGGGCCTCATGGAGGTCCACCACATGGTCCCCCTCCACAAATGAACCATTGGCAAGGACCTCCTCCAGGTCCTCATCATGGACCTCCAGGAATGGGATGTCCCCCTCCTGGACCAGTACCACCACCACGGCCCGTTGGACCACCCCCAGGTTGGGGCTGGAATGGCCCACCACAGCCAGTTGGCCCACCACCGCCACCTCCTCCTGGAGGTCCTGGAGGCCCAGGAGGCCCTGGGGGTCCTGGAGGTCCTGGACCCAGGGGACCTGGTGGTGTAGATCTGGGAGCCCTTCTATCAGCACCGCCCCCACCTCCACCGTCGTAAGTAGACTTCCTACAACAAAAGTACAAATAATTCTCTGCCACTGAATGATGCATACCCAAGGACTTCCATACCAAGGGTTACCTTCTGATGCATACATGTACAACTATTCAAGAAGTTTTAGTGAGGCAGTATTGCCCTTTTATTTTTATTTTTTTTCTTCAGTTGTAGCTTTATTCCATAATGAATTCTATAACTGGAAATATGGAATTACAGTAAAATGGTGTCCTTAGTGAACACATACAGTATGGTAGGATGAACTAAATGCTGCAGATATTTTATTGTACAAATCCTTTTTATGAAAAACTATGAAACTGTAGCTTATATAAGAATAGGAAAAGATATCTATGGTGACCTCATGAGGAAAATAATTATTCCCTTCAGTGGAATAGATTTTTCTTGTGTCCAATTAACTTTTTCCCTCGTGATTTTATTTCTGTAAGAAAATCGCAGTTATCTGTGGATTGTGTTATGAATGAATAGGGGTAAGAATTTTTTTTTTATTAAATCTTGAATCATCTGTATGAAGGAGTAAATAGTTGTTGCTGTCAGTGTTTAAGTTAATTGTATTATTAATTTTGTGTATTTTAAGTCAAATCATAGCTGTTTACTAAGAAACTCATGGTGTGACATGTCCAGAAATATGTGAAAGTTACACAGAGCACTTGTAGTGAATGCCTAATAGGGAAGGTAATCCTTAAAAATGACAAATCCTCACTGATTGTGCTCCTGCGGTGTAGACTGTGAATCCTTAGAAATTAGACTCGAACAAGAAAAAAAAATGAAAGGATTTGTAATCATGAATTTAAGTGCAGAAGTGGATGAAATTTTCTTTTGAAGAAGATACGCAGTTGACGCATTGTGGTGCATAATAAGGTTTTGAGAATAAATAACATGTTTCAATTATTAAATTAAAAGTTTATTTATACATCATGTATGATGCCACAAATCTTTCCTGTAAAGAATTGTGAAAACCTGTACATAAAGCACTGACAAAGGGGATATAGTTTCATTATCATATGTATGGTTTTGTTGTGTACAGTACTTGACATTTTTAATTGCATTTGTCCGTGTTAAGTATTCATTATTAGTCCCTTGAAACACTATCTAAAAAGAAAATTTTTTTTTATATAGAAGATTGGGAATATTGCCGTATATATCGTAGAAGTGAAGAGCTGTCTGAAAAATCATATGGTAAATTTCTCTTGATATTTTCTGGGATGAAGACCAGTGATAGCCAAAGCAAGTGTTTAGATAGATAAGTGACTTTGTTAAGTTAGGTTAAAGTTCTAGTGTTTGCATTCTGATGGGGATCCATAGTTAAAGTACAGTGCATTTTCTTTCCACTGAGTTCTTTCTCATTGAAAAGGAGTGGAAAAGCTTTGGGACATACCGTACATCATCATTTTATCCAGTTCTGTATTACCTCTCACTGGCGCTTTGAGAATTTATTTATGCTTTCCACAAGTCACTGTGAATTTCCTGACTATTGAGATGTAATTCCTTTTATTGAGTTGGGGGGGGGGATTAGATCAGTGGTCTCTGTGAGCTGCTTTAAGCACATATGTGTGTGTCATGATGATTTGTATTAGAGGTTGCAATCTTTTCATTTTTTGGATCATATCTCAATATTTTAGACTGATTCTTGATTAATTCACTATGGTGTATTACAAGCTTTTGGCTGAATTACTTGCACTAAATTTTTCACTGTAATACCAGGATAAAACCCGATACAGCAACATGCAGTTAGCTGCAATAACCGAGTTCTCCCAATGGTGTTTAAGAAACAGTTTGAAGGTCTCGCCCAGTTGCTCTACCCTCCTCCAATTGTGGAACTGCCTTTGTTACCAGATAAGTGCTGTTATCTTGCAGTGGTGGTTGTAAATCCCTGCTGATTCTGCCTCCCATCCACTTTCAATATTTTCTTTGACTAATGCCAGATGATTTTATTCGGCTCATTAGAGGGCCCCATACAAAGGAGTTAAGATTATGGAGTTTATCTTCATTTTATTTTAGTAAAGTTATTAACGTTATACTGCCATGGTATGCTGTGAAAGCTTATACAGTATTATCATACATAAATAAAGGCATGAAATCATGATACTGTACACACTATTTTGGCATATATGGATTATTTATGGCAATGCCATAAGTGTGGCTGGCAAGTGTACCTTTATTTTTTTTATTAATTTTTTTTTTGTATGCCAATTTAAAGTGATTTATCTTTATGTATGACATAAAAACGTCATTGATGCTTTTAGGAAGTTAATATTGTACCATCATGCAGGAGTTGGACTCGGATTGTTATCAGAGATATGAGGATATCAACAGTGTACAGTGAAACCTAAAAAATTCAGATACATCTAAAATTTGAATAGCATCTGATTAAAAATAAGTGCCAAAATTTTAGGTTTCAAATTTGAAAATATCGCCATAATAATTCAAGCTTTCAAATGCGATCATAATGCTGAGCACAACAAGTGCATCTGGGTTCCAAGACATGCTAGGTTAAGCATTGTATCCAGTACAGTGAAGGTGGATGGAGACAGAGTGTTGTACAGTACAGTATTTGGAGACTGGTAGGATTACATGGAGACCACTGTAGCTATAATGTTCTAAATATATTAGATTAAATGTTGTTGAATATAAATACATAATACTTTTAATTTATTATACCTATTGCTTATTGACAGTTTTTAGATATGTAAATAATTTTTGTAGCATGTTTTGATAAAATAATTTGCTCTGGCGCTTCCATACATCTAAAATTCGAATACTTCATGGGCCCATAAAAAAATTTTTTTCGAGGTTGCACTGTACGTATATGCAATTTTCTTTTCTTTCCCTAATGTTAGTGTAATGGTGTCTTAAGAAATATCAACTACCTTTTGGCCAATTTTTATTTGATAAAATGAGGAAACCAATTGTATTTGTTCATTCATATTTTACTCATTGTTTGCCTACCATCAAATATTATTTATAAGACATATTAATGCCATATGGAAATTATATCACAATAAAAATGTAGTCTTCAAGGACCAATAAATGATATTGGTCAAAATTTTACTATTTGGATTTTTTGCTGAGAAAATATGTTGTAGAAAAAGGTGAAGACATTGTTTACGTCTTCAGTTTTTAAACTGGAACTTTTTTCTTCCTTAAATCTAGTTGTCATGCTTTGTTGTGGGTGAGTGAAGGTTTGTCACTATCTATTTCTTGTCAAAGTTAAGACAATATATTATCAGGATGTCATCAGTACTTATTTGGATGATAGGTAAGTACAGTATAATGGATCATCACTTCAATTTAGAGTGATCCTCTCATCACATTTTGATAGACCAGTGTTATGTGACATTTTTATAGTTTTTGTTCAGTTGGTAATTTTATTTGAAATTGTATTCTTGTTTGCAATTGCATTGTTATACTGTATATGATTCCAGTAGAAGTTTAGTGTATGGGAATATTTTAAATCCTATTGCCTGGCTTGGGTGAATCATGGACTTCCAGCTTACAGTATGTCCATGGGTTGAAAACCCAGGTCCCTCAGTTTCTCCCCCCAAGTGGGAACATCTGTGTAGTGGTGGTGGGGCTTGTCCCCCATTCCTCCTCAAGGAGGAAAAGGCTTCCCATATTGGAAGGGTCATAAGGGAGGGATGAGACTAAATGGTTCTCTTGAGCTGCTAGCCTTGAGAGCTGGCTAGTGGCACATCTTTGGCTCAGTCTGCCAGGGCTGGAGAGTAGCTCTCCCACGTGCTTGCCATACTTGGCGACCTGGGAGACGGGAATCATGACGGTTGAACGATTCTACACACCTTTTTGGTGTCTTATTCTGGTTATATGGGAGGCTTGACATGTGGCCCAATCAAGTCAATTGGCTGGTCAGTATGGTTGGCCTCTGGGACAGTCATTTGGCTAAGGTCAAGCAGGCACCACACTTGGTCCCACGGGTGTTATCAGATTTAGTGGTAGCCTGTGTATACCTCACCACTACCCCTGGGGCTGTTGTGTGGCCTCCTCTTGATGGGTGGATGGAGTAGGGAGGTGAAAGCCTATTAAAAAATTTTATTGCATCCAATCCCACAAATTTCCAACCCTAACGACCCTGGCTTATCAGTGGACCAATCTCTTGGAACGCCTCCTTTAGTGGCCACTCTGGAGCCTTTTGTGCTCAGCAGTGGCTGACATTCTTGTCAGCATGGGGGACATCCTTCTCGGCAGACTGCTGTCATGAGAGAGACCTTACCTGGTGTCTTTGAACCCGACTGGTATGATAAATATTTAAGTCTTATAATAAGTAAGATTAATCTTAAAGATCAAAATATTTTTCAGATGACTGAGACATTGTACAACTACAGGAAAGCCTCTGATAACGATGGTTCTACTAACGACGATTCATATTTAAGACCCTGGTTAATTTAGGACCCAATTCGATTTACTCCATTATTTTCTTCGTATTTACGAAAAAAATAGAATAAATAAAATAATAATACATTTTCATATAAATAATAACTAAATCCCAATATGTATTATAAAAAAAATAAGCCTTGTGCATTGAGGCTACCGGGCTTGTGAATGGTGACGCCAGCATCACTAGTATAAACAGTCGCAGCTTGGTTGGCCTTTGTTTTCATGCATCTGAACGGGAAAAGGAGAAAAACTTTCTCAGGTTTCTTACTGCATTTTTTGCATCCCTATTCAACATGAGCAAGAGAACAAGTGATGGTAGTGCTGGTTCAAAGGGTAAAAGAAAGTGTATAAGCTTAGCCGAGAAACTAGATGTTAAAACGATGAAAAAGGTGAGAGGTGCGTGGATATTATATGGAGCAAGCAATGAACATATTTTCTGACGTGGATCCATTAACAGAACGAAGCAATAAAATTAACACATGAAAAATGCATATGACCTCTACATAAAGATGTATAATGAAAAAAGAAAGCAGCTGTGCAAGGTTCTTTCAACAGCTTTATTATTCGAAGGCCTAAACCACCAACTTCAGGTTCAGCTACACCATCAAATTCAACATCAGCAGGAGCTTCAGCAACAACTACAGGTTCAGTAACAGTTTAAGCAACAGCTATGACATCTTATGGAAAGCTACAGCTTCAGCCAGAGTTGAACCTGAAGAATTTTGTCATCTGAGTAAAAACTCGCACAACAACATTCATTGGCTGCCCTTATGTTTACGACTTTACCACAATTGGTGAGTAGAATTTATGTTTTACATTCATAAGTAGTATTTAAAACATATATGAACAGTAATTAGTGTTGAGCAATCCATCTCGTTTTTTTTTCTTTACCATTAGTGGTTAGCTACTTCTGTTTTTCCATTTATTAACATTAAATAACATTACTTAAAACATACATATTCATTTTTTTTCATTAATTTACTCAGCTACAACCAGGGTCTTATTTTCTTCAGTTTCATATGGAGAACCATCATCATGGGTTTAAGCACTAACGAAAACAATGCCATCTCGTCTCGTCAGTCTCTCACGTTTTTTCTTTACCATCAGTTGTTACTTCTGCTGCACATTAAATAACATTAATTAAAACATAAATTTTTTTTTTACAATAATTTTACTACATCAACAACCAGGGTCTTATTTTCTTCAGTTTTAGATGGATAACTGACATGGGTGTAAACACTGACAACTACAATGGCATTCCATCTCCTCTTGTGGGACCATATTACAGTATTATTATTGATTTATAGTATTGTATAAGGTGCATTCATAAACATTATTTAAAGAATATAGTTTGCATTTTTCATTAATTTTATTGGTACAAAGCCACACAAAAGATATGAAAATATCAGACTTTGGAATGCATCTCATAATTATTTCCCTTATTTTAATGGTAATTAATGATTCACGATACGATTATTCGCCTTACACTGCAATATTGGAGGACACATTACCTTCGTTATTTGAGGCTTTACTGTATGTGGATCTGCACCAAAAGTTGTGCCCCAAGCAGATAGAAGCCTTTTGACAGAGGTG